TTTAATACATCTTTCTTTGTCTACTATCTGAGTTACTCGCTCGTTGCCGAGATTTTTTACAAGTCGTTAGTAGACGGCACGCAAGCCGATTCAATGACAAGAGTTGCTTAAAAAAACCCATTTGTAATCTATAAAACCAATTAACTGCTGGGAAAAAAAATAATAAACATGTTATTTGCCGGCTTACAGTCAGTCCGTATGGTGAAAAACTGTGACCTCGGGTTTGAAAATGCTGCCCGAGGCTGCAGGCTGAGGGCAGCATTTTCAAGACCTCGGTCGCAGTTTTTCACCATACGGACCTCCCAGCCGGCAAATAACATATATAAATTTAAATACTTAATTGTTGAGGTGTTGATATTAAGAATCCACCACTGTCAGAAAATATCATTGCTTTTAATTGAGGGGACGAAGACATGAAAGTAAATTTCTTAAAAACAAACTAAAACTGTTTAGGTGTTACCACAAATTCTGGCTAGAAATATCTCTCATTTAGGGTTTTGAATTATCCACAGGCCACCCTTCTGTTACATCTAACAATACAGCTAATGTGGCAGAGAAGTGGTATTTTCAAGTACATTAAGCCAGTAAATGATTAAATAATTTTGTATCACCAGCTGGATTCTCGTGTGATTGTCTAGGAGGGGGTACGTAGTCCTTAAAAGACTGTTGTCGGAGACAGGCGAAAAATTATTAGGCACTCAAGGGTGCTAACTCTTGAAACAAGAGATCATATCTTATTATCAGTGGCTGTCATGACTGACAATTTCCATCCATCTGTTGTTAGTCAAATTATTGTCACTAGGAGGAGAAGTTCACTCAAAAATAAGCACCTTTTTTTTCTTTCTGCCAACGGAAAGCTAGTACAATGATCTGTCGGTTGGCAAAATTTCAGCTTCCAAAGTGCTTCCAAACCCTATAAAATCCTTGTCTAAAGTAGCACGAAAATCGGAAGACAACGCCGCCATCTTGGAGTAGCTTAGTAGCTTGGCCATGTATACTTGACGTCAAAGAGCTTTTTTACAATAACTGCAGAAATTCTATCGCACTCATTGGCTGAATTTTATTGTCAATAAGCAGACAGACACGTGAATTTATAATTTACATGATGCGTCAACGAACGAGAGCGGACAATTTGACAATTTATTATCATAAAAAAACAAAGTGATGTCAGTTTTTCATGCGTCTGTCCTGTTATTGACAATGAATTTCATCATAACATTGTCAAAGTAGTCTGCGGATCCACTTGGCTATCGCCTCATGGATTCCAGCTACTTTGACAATGTTATGACGAAATTCACGATCAATAACAGGACAGATGCATGAAAAACTGACATCAATTTGTTAAAGTGTGAAGTTTGGCAGAAAGTCGGCAGGAAGATAATAATAAGATTTGTGTGTGCAAAGCTCACATTAAGTTGGCAGCAAAAGTTTGTTTGTTTAAGAGAATCACATGATCGAAAGGAATTCCACCAATCCTATATGGGAAGATTGGGTGCTAGTTGGCTTGTGCGAGTGGATTTTCTGCCTCCTTCCTTCGTATATCATTCTCTTAGTGAAGCCAATGACACGACTAGGTTTCATCAGTTACAGGACTGCAATTCATAATCATCTTACCTGATTTACGTTCGTAGCAATGTAGCTCACGACATCATCATCCCCTTAAAATCCAAGAGAATTAATCAGTGAACAACATGTAACATATATATATACATAGCAATTTGCCTTGAAAAAGACCATGTTAACAGTTACCTCGTGGAATGTTGGTAGCATTCAGTTCTGTATCTGAATCTGGCACCTGAAGTAAACCAACAGAGGAGTAAATTGAATGATGCAAAACAGGTATGTGAAGAAAGTTCTGCTATAAATTGATGTTGCATCCCCGAAGAAAAAAAGCCCACATTTTTGTAACCCAATCTGTTTTTGAAACCTGGGAACTAACAAAGTTTACCTTGCTAGAGAACTGCTTGCTACATCGTATGGGGGTATTTCTCACTACCCCTGCCGTCCTTACCCCTTCCTGCTCCCTCTTCAGTTGGTGTTAAAGTAAGCCCAGTCTACACTCAAATTTTCCACCGGGTTTGAATTTTAGTTCCCCGCAGTGACTCACAGAAGGAGCTGATCGGTTTAACTTTCTATAACTGCTGTCTAAAGGAAATCTGCCTGAGGATATCATTGAGTCCGATGAAGGTGCAAGTCTAACGATTTGCTAGTAAGCGCAATTTATTATACATGGGACGGTAAAAGATGTAACAGCTTGACATTTTAGCCTCGTTAGGCCGTTTGCATTGTAGCAATAATGTTGAATGAAGCAGGATGATAATGTTGGCTTTACGACCTTTAGTGCAAAGTAACAAAAGCAAATTAGCTGACGTCATTTATATCTCAGTTAAAAAGGCCTATTAATTATTTGGTGGAAGTAATTCAGACAGACAAGTACCTTATCCTCCAATATGTAGAGGGTTGAATTGCCTGTTATATGTCCCTTAATGGTTTTGCCATTCCAAAGATGCGGAGGTCCGTAAAACTCAAATCTTTTGTGCTCCTTATCCAATTTGACTACAGCTGCACAAACAAAACTAGAACCAAAGACATGTTGGTAAACACTTACATTACCTTTAGGCAGAGCATTTAAATGGATTTAAAAATTAGCAAAAAGACAAACACAGAGACACCTCAAAAATGAACAGGGGCCTTCTAAACTGGAGAGAACGATCTTAGAATGACTTATTGTTTTCTACTCACAACATGGAGATATGCTAAGCGAGGGCAGTCACCCCAAAACGCAGACCATGTAGTCTGCAGACCGCAGACCGTGCAGACCATGCAGACCATGCAGACTGGGTACTGTTTTTTTTCTTATTCTTCTTTTTGCATTTACTTTTGACTCACATATTTTTTGGTTCTGTTCAATTACATATCAGAGTGTTTGTTATCCACAGGCAGTGCAAACTCGGTGGTATGTGACTGTTAAATTGTGTTATAGATTTTGCAAGGGAAACTCCCTTGAGCCTGCAAGCTTTTAAAATGTAGAAATAAACTTCACTTGTAATGTTATGTCACACGTAACATGTGCATTTTCTACTCTTGGTGTACAAAATGTAATTCCAAATAGGTGTTGGAGTGTGACTGCGATCACGCCAAAAAGCCTAGCGCATGGAAAGATTGATCACAGAAAACCGAATAGCATTTGAAATTCTCAGCTCAGTATGGTTGCCATGATGAGTTGATGCGATGGTTAATTTGTCTGTCGTTATGGCAGTTGCGTTCTTATGGCGATTTAGACTACGAGTGGTCCCTCTTTTGCTGATGATGGACAAAACACTGACCCCTAGTCCATGGACTACCCTAATGGACTACCCAAATGGACTACCCTAAAA